AATGTATGCGAATCGAATTTATTCCAATGCCACTCGCACACGTGAAGCAAATAAATGCGAAAACGTGTGTGAATTAAAGCATAAGAAATACTCATCTCTTCTTCATAATTCGCATTCTTCATAATTCATTTCTTACGAGTCGTATTAGATTTTCGAGTTTTAACTTTGGAATCAATGTCAATGTATACATTGCACTACAAAATCAACAAATGTAAATTTATATACTTAGCGATACATAAAGAAAAACAATACAAAATATATAAAAAATATATAAAAAAATAATAATAATATAAAAATAATAATATATAAAAAAAGTTTTCATAAAAATAACAAAAAAATTTGTTTATTTAGAGATATTATATATGGTTTAATTATGCTTCTCATCTCGTCAAATTGTAGTTACACATCAAGAGAACTTGAAATATGAAAATATTTACAAGCACAGTGCTTATAATACAAGTGCTTATAATAAAAACGAAAAGTCTCTAATCCAGTTTAACAAAACATGTTTTTACAAATACTCAAACAATCTCTTTTATTAAACTCAATCAGTTTTACAGGCGATCCAATAAAAACATGTTATTGATTAAACACGAATTAGTTTTTTGTCCTCTTTTTTTAATAACTATATCTTTTATCGAAAATTTAGAAAATAAAATTGTTAGTGCGAGCGTATTCTCGATGAAATGAATGCACATCGTTTGCTGCACACGTTTAATGTCTTTTGTCATAAAGATGAGCGTGTATTATCGCGAAAGCTATATTATTATTTTTTATAAAACAAACGATATAAAGAAAGGCAAATGAGAATATTTTATTCTTTATACTGTATGACGAATTTGAAGACAGAATTCTAAAGAGATACAAACGAGCATATACAATGAGGCAGAGTGCATAACTGTGTTCTATAAGATATTCTGCCGAAATGTCGAAGAGCGTATTACGCTTAAGAAATGAGCTGAGTTTGCTCGCTCGGCGCCAGTTCACTACTTGTGCCAGTTATAACGCACTTGGATTTTGGTATCTTGTAAGTAGTACATCCAGCAGTCGCGCGCTTGTAGCTGATTCAGAGTTGCACTCTTGTGGGAGATGTCTGCGAGCGCTGGTTTCCTGTCCAAAATTCGCATATATAAGTTTCGTGGAGAGTGGAACACATTTCATGCGCTTCTTTATGACGCACAGCATAAATGATTACAACGCGAACATATTAAAAAGATAGACTTCTTTAATGTGATAAAAATTTTGCGCATCTTTTACACATAAAAATAAGATTAGCATATCTTCATTTTTAAATAATAAATGTTTTTAATCCTCTGTACAATCTAGAGGACGGTGTTTGGTTCTCCCTCCTAAAATATTTTGTAAAAAACCTATTTGATCTCATATTTTTTGAAAATCTAAAACAATAGAAATCAGATTGCAGACGGAAGAAATATGATTGTAGATAAAAGTTAATAATCTTAAATATCGTTCTATGAAACAAAAGACTTGCATTAGACTACTAAAACTTTCTATCTCACTTTTGCAAAATTTCAAATATATATATTATTTTATTTTACGTACAACGAATGTACACTTTTTATCCACAAAAAACAGATTATCTAGAATGAGAGAAATGTTCACAATATTTTATTTCTTCTTCGTTTTTTTTTAAATTAAATACACTAACATCAGAATTATAAACAAAAGTGCAACATAAATATAAATTTTACGTATAACAGGAATTATAAGATTATATTGAGAAACATATTATACATCAAAAGTTATGTTCACCAAATCATTATTCTCTTTCTAGCATCAGCACACATACGCGTGACATCCAATGAAGATGCGCAGCGGCATGTAAACGATACCTATAATGATTTGATGGAAGAACTGCCCATTTTCGAGCCGACAGCAGCGAATGTCAGTGCATTTGTGGGACAAACCGCATATCTACCGTGCCGCGTGCGAAATTTGGGTGACAAAGTAGTAAGATTTTTATTTTATAATTTTACTATCACATTTTATTGTAAACACCAGACAAAAAAGATTCTTTCATAATTTAATTAAGTTTTACATAATAATATATTTCATTCAATGCTCACGATATTATGTATGATCATTCATATGATTGTTTGCTTATAATTTATAATATTACGCTGAAATTATATTTGTACCTTTAAAGATCATATGTTCAACTATGTTTATGCGGATATAATATAAACATGAAGCTATTTGAAATGCGAATTTCGTTTATCATGTTACTCAGAATATATGAAGCAAGACAATTAACTCTTTGTGAATTGATAACCCCATTGGCCATTTATTCATTGGAAATTATCCCCTTTTATTTTATGAATTACTGGTTCGATTTTTTATGAATTACTGGTTCGATTTTTTTTTAAACTTGGCTTATGGAGTAATATAAGTATTTGTTAATGCTTTATCGAATCTGAGGTAAAAATTAAAAAATTCAAAATAGTTCTAATATTTCGAACGAAAATTCGAAGAAAGAAAAATCTGATTATCATAAAATTTATAGTTTTAGGAAATTTTTAATTATGAAGTATTATTAAGTTCCAGTTTCATTTTAGTTGAAGTTCATCAATGCCACGCAAACAGTTAATCTAAAGTGGCTTTTAAACTCTGATTACGAACTCCGTGATACTAGATCCAATGTTGAAGGTTATTATCCTTTCGAAATTTGATACTTTTAGGGTACCGAGTTTTACGATAATCAGATTAAAAAAAAATTTTTTAAGACTATTTCTTTTAATTTGAAATTTATAATTCTAAGATATAAAATTGAATTCATTAATCTCGAAATCCTTTCGAAAGACCTTCCATAACTTTGTTAGAAAGCTCCGGTCCTCGAAGGAAGGGATTAACAAAGGTTGTATGTATCATTATTAATTGCAAACAAGCCACTGACTAGCTCGACGGCAATTAATCTGAAAATTTACCGGAGACAGCTTCGATTCAAACAGGTTGTTTCCAGCACCCTTATCTGCATAAGAGAGCCTACGTAATTAATACAGCGGCATGACAAATTGTCGCTTCCGTAGTTCCGTAATAGGGGGCCGCCAATAAATATCGCGGTCGCGATTAGAGCGCGTTCCATACACGTGAATATAGAACGTGAGGGTGGGTGTCGTAGCGCGTAGGAAATGGCGTGTCTGTGACGATATATCATGAAGAGTCATGGGGACACAGACGTCAGTATGCTTCCTTCAAAGGCGAAATCTCTCCGATGCGTATCTCGCGGCGTTGACTAAGCGCACAGCATAGATTTAATGAAGACGTATGATCGTCTTAGTATAACTTTTCTTTAGCAACCGATCTCACTCTTCAGTTCCCACAACATTCCAGCCATAGTTTAAGTTTTTAGTGCTTTATGTGAATTTAGTGAACGCGGTTGATCCGAATTTATTAGATTTTATGGATACGAAGTGATGGGAACCATGAAGAATGACGCAGATATATTTCTCAATTATTTCTGGCATGAAACAAGGTAAAAAAAAAAAGATTTTCATCTTTTTATATAATCGAAGTAAACGGCAAGCGGAGAAAATGCAAATTTGCAGCGTGAGAAGAATGTATATAGAAAAGGAGAGATTCCTAAAGCATTTACATCAAAGTACGAACGCTTTATAACTTACCTACCTAAATTCTTCGCTCCGCGGAACACGCGCAAATAGAATCTTTCGAAAGTTCTTGGGTCCGTTGCGAGAAAGCTTGGCAATCTGAAGTACGGGGAACACGGTTTCGCAGTAACAAGAGATGCAAAAGGAAAGGTCGATCGAAGCGTGCAAATTTGTGGACGACTCAGCTGCGATTCACATAGGTGGTGAATCATTTGATGATCACATTCAATGTCCGTCAATCGGTTCGTTCACAAAATACCCTTTAGATTGAAGGGCACTTGGTACCAATCGAGAATCATTCTTAGAAAGCGAATGTCATACGGTTCGCTATGCATTTTTCTCTACAAACGCAATTTTTCGGCACACCCAATTTTTACGACCCACTTTTTTGCATTTCCGAATTTCCTCCTTCGCTTTAGACAAATTTCTTTCTGCTTCTACGCAGGCTTTATTGTTATCGAGCGAACTGCAGTAAACGTATGCAACTAGTGGATGGATTTTTGTAACGGCGCTTTGCCTTTTTCATTCGGAGTAGAAATGTCTAGAAGTGATGAGTGTAATTGTTCGATGATTGATGCTTTTAAGATGTTTGATAACATTGATATTAAAAAAATAATCTGCGCGATCTTTTCTCTTTATTGAACACACAAAAGCTCTGTCAATTTAAAAAACTTGCTACAGAAATGTATTGTGTTCTGACATCAGTTAAAAGAGTTAACCTTATTAATTTATTTCATTTATCAGTAATTATATTTAAATATTCCGTTTCTATTTAGTTTTTTTTTGTACACATATAATACGTATATATATTAAATATATAATGCATATATTACGTGTCATACTTTCATTATAATTAATTAAACATTTTAAAATTAAATTATCAAGCTATGCTATATTCTAATTATACACGCATAACATTATGATAAAATATTATGTTTTTTATACTACATTGCTATATTATCATTAATCATTTTGCTTTTAAAGACCATAAGGTTATAAATACCATAATAAATTGAAGTTTTTAATAAAAAAAAATTAGTTTATTATTCCTTTTTCACGCGTGGAACAAAAACTACATCCACTTTGATGAAAAAAAAAAATGTTTTATTCTATACCGTTGTCATCCAACTGTAAAAATTTAAACTGAAGATTGATGGTATATCAAACGTGGTTCAATGTGCAATATTTCGAAAACGTACTTGTATCTAACAGATATTTTATAGATTTTATTGGAAATGGACGAATATATAGATTTCTTTAATAGCTGGGATATAGAATCGCTCGACGTGCATTTTCTCGGGGCACGGCCGGATGCATTTTTAGTTCACGTTCACCAGATTTATCCAATCTTTTCCACATTTTTCTTCCTTCCACTTATCTGTTTTCCTTTTTCCCTACGATCCACCTTTAATTAAATATCGATCTACGTGCGGCGATAGTCAGAGGAAACGCGTTGATTACGACAAGTTTTCTCGAGTTAAGTCGGAAAATCAAATGGAGTTTAAGAAGAAAATAATTGCGAAAGATTAGTCGCATTTATTTTAGTAAAACTCGAATGGCTTCTTAAACGGAAAAAGGATTTTAATGAAATTTGTAACGGCTCTTCACTACGGTCACATTATCAGTTAACATTCTTGAGAAACTTATGAATGAAGAAACTGATTGCTTGAACGTCATTATTTTTCGAATCTCGTTAGTTAAACTATTAGCATTTAAAAATGAGCATTTTGGAAAAAAATGTGAAAAGATATGTCAATTGCTACTTAGATGATGGTACTTTATCTCTAATTGTTCTTAAATTGTGTATGTGTGTGTGTCGGTAAATTTATCTTTAAATAATTATTTTATTCTAAAAAATAAATATAATTAAATAACTATATCTCAGATATGTCGCAGCGCGTGTAAATTTTATCGTTAAATATTTCAAATACCTTATTTATTTTACTATATTATTTATTTTACTATAGTTTGTATTGTGAAATACTATATTATAGGTATAATGATATTCGTACCAATTTATTTATCGGCTGCAAATTCCTAGAATTCCTAGAAACATAATTATCAAATAATGTTTGAGAAGAATATCTTAAGGCAATTATATAGCCACCTGTATTATCGATTAAATCACAATAATTGCTTTTTTCCTCTTTTACAGATTCGAAAAAATAAATCAGATAAAATAAAAATAATTTTTGTATAATTATTTTTTTTCTTTTTTACAGATTTAAATATCCTCTTTCAGGATTAAAGTATACGTATAATTAATACATGTTTGTGAGGGGGAGTTTATGCCGAGAACGATCAAAAATTTCAAAATTGAAATTTTAAGAAAAATTTTGTGTCGTTCTTGGCATAAACGTATTAATGCGTATATTTTAATCCTGAAAAAGGATTTTTAAATCTGTAAAAAAGGAAAAAAATAACAAAAATTACGATTTATTTTTTCAAATCTGATTCTCGTCGATCAATATTTAAAGTGCACTTGACGCTACAAATGCTTCGAAATTTTTGACCAATTGGAAGAAAGAATTTTACTAACTAATCAAAAAATGCTTCAAAGTATTCGTAGCATCAAGTGGACTATAGCGAGATCGAAGTTAAAAGGAAAATTACAGTATTAAGGAAGAATAAAACAATGATGAAATTTTTGTTTTCTCAGGAATTTTTACTCTATACTGTAACAATATTCATATCAATTTATTCATCGGCTACTAATTCCTATAGAATAAAGCATAATTATCCAAATAATACTTAAAAATGGATAGTTTTAAATTGCAACAAAATGCATAGATTAGTAGTCAATTCTACATAAAAAGTCAAACATATATTTTCTTTTTGCAAGAAGAGCATTTGATTTCCATCAAAATATCAATTTACGATTCCTTCAGGTGGAAATGTTAGAAGAATCAAGATGTCGAATGTAAGTTAAGTTAGCAGCGATCATAGTTGCGCAAAGTATTTCAATAAAACACAATTTGCAAATTATGTCTTTATAAGAAAGTTATTTTAATCATCATATTGTTTTACGTTACAATGCAACGCATTATCTATTTTGCACTTTATAATAGAATCATCTAATTTAAGATGTTTCTATACCTAATTGTCTACTCCTTCTCGAGTTGCCATTATATCACAGAGTCGCGATATATTACTGAATACGAAGTAGTGACTATGCCAAGGAAAATATTGGAGAAACTGTTTAGAAAAAATCAATGAACAGAGAAAGAGAGAAGAGGAAGAGCGAAACATGTAATTTTTCACTAAAGTAAACATTATTGTATTGATTGAATTTTTCAGTTAAGGGTCATGAAGTTTCATTTCCAAGCTTATTTGATTTGTATTATT